TTTGAAAATCTTGGAAAAAAAGCATAAAATAAAAGATATTATGAACAATATATATTCGTATTTGATATAAAATTGAATGATTGGCTATATTTGGATAAATAGTGAATATTGTAGAGTTAGATATAATTAGGATTAGATCTAAGTGAATATATTAAGAAGATTTTCGAGTAAATTAAGGAATATACGATGGAATATGCAATTAATAGAAGATTTTAGAGCCGGATTAATGTGGCATATTCTTTAAATATGGTACAAAGTATAATTGTAAATGGAAGAAGATGTAAGGAATATGTCATTTGTTAGATGGATTGTCGTAATTAGTTTCCATTTTTCCTTAAATTTGGGATTGTAGCAATTAGGTATCATAAGTAGAGAAGAAATAATTGTTGAGATTTTTGAAAAGATTGCGTCATATTTTAGGCAAAATATCTATGTAAATCAAAAAGTTTAAAGAACCAATAGCGCTAGAATTGATTTTTTTGCTATAACGATTACTAAAACATTTAAGTAAATAAAGATATTTCGTTATGATTTTTCAGCATATTCGAATTGTTGATTATTTCGAAATTTAAGGATGTTTATGAAATCATGATTGATTTCCGATTTCATAAATTTTGATTAGAATTAAAAATAAAAGATTTAGTATTTAGATAAGGAATATACTATAATAAAAATTATTAATACTCGAATATATTAGGAATATTCGTATTGTTAGTTTATTTAATTCAAAAATTATAATTTGCGGATTTAAAGGAAGATCTTCTCGAGATTTTAGGCATATAATCGAGATTTTAGTAACAAACTGTGATCACATTAAATTTTCGAAAGATTTGTGTCGAAATTGTTAGAAACAAATTAGGATAGATAATGTTTGGTTAGTATCTTTTAATATTTTCAAATCTTTAGAATTAAACTCATTGACATTATATTGTTGAATTTATTTTTTAAAAATGACGTAATATTAAATAAAAAAATAAACAACTAACTATTTTCATTTGATGGTGTAGACAAATTATTATTACTATTTATGTAATTTAATTACAAATAACAAATATTAATTTTTATAACAAAACAAATTATTTTCGTAATAACAATTTTTCCCCAAATCAATCTTTTACAAAATATTTATTTAATCACATATTCTTTCTATATAGAAATAAATAGTTAAATAATTATGGTTAGAAGTAGTTAAGGTAAATAACAAATATGGTTAGTTTAGATATATTATATATATTTCTAATTTAGGTGTTAATTAAGAATTAATGTCGTTTTTATTACAAACTTCCTTAAATTTCTTATTCTAGATCCGAATAGAGTTAAACCCGGGTAAAACCCGGATCCAAAAGACTTTTTGCAAAAATCCCCTGTAAAAATGTATATGTAGATACACGAACTACATTAGTCCAAAATTCAGAAATCTTTTTGTTCCAAAGCAAAGCAAGACTCTGACTTCGGAAGATTTAACCTACGTTTGTCTCCTAGTAAAAACGCAATCATCATCATGTCTTTGTCTCCGAGAACAACCGTTTTTGTGGTTTTGTGTTTTCTGTTCGTGCTCGCTCCATACTTCACTAGAGCAACAACCGATGAACTTCAAGCTAGATGCGAGTCACACAGCTTTAACAACGGCAAACACTTCCGTTCATGCGTTGACCTTCCCGTGTTAGATTCTTTTCTACACTTCAGTTACGTTCGAGAAACCGGAGTGCTTGAAGTTGCGTATCGTCACATCAACGTTGAATCTTCTAGTTGGATCGCTTGGGGGATAAACCCGACAAGCAAAGGCATGTCAGGTTCTCAAACTCTCTTGGCTTACCGTAATTCCACGTCTGGTATTATGTGTCTATACTTCCTCAATCAAAGGCTACTCACCTACGCTTCAAGAAGGTCCTCTCAGCTTCCGTGTATTGCAACTATCCGGTGAATATCTCAATGGAGAGATGACTATATTTGCTACTATAGTGTTGCCTTCTAACATAACCGTCGTGAATCATTTATGGCAAGACGGTCCTTTGAAGGAAGGTGATAGACTTGGGATGCACGCCATGAGTGGAGATCATCTTAAATCCACGGCTACTTTGGATTTGCTGTCCGGACAAGTCACGACCTCAAAAGCAGCTAACGATAACATGTTACTAGTCAAAAATATCCATGGACTAGTGAACGCGGTGTGTTGGGGTATTTTCATGCCTATTGGTGTCATAGCTGCAAGGTACATGAGGACCTACAAAGGACTGGATCCCATGTGGTTCTACATACACATCATTTTCCAAACCACCGGTTATTTCGGTGGTTTATTAGGAGGATTAGGAACTGCAATCTACATGGCTAAACACACAGGAATGAGAACTACACCGCATACCGTGATAGGGATCTTTTTGTTCGCTCTAGGTTTTCTACAGATACTTGCCTTCAAAGCAAGACCGGACAAGGAACATAAGTACAGAAAATATTGGAATTGGTACCATCACATTACCGGATATGTAGTGATTGTACTAAGCGTCTACAACATCTACAAAGGCTTAGCCATCTTGCAACCCGGAAGCTCATGGAAGATTGCTTACACTACCATCATTGGAGTCATTGGAATGTTCGCGACCGTGATGGAGGTTTTGCAATTTAAAAGTAGATGGGGTGGCTTGTGCTGCAAGGAATCTGAAAACCTAGAAGCTGATCAAACTGTTTCCACTAATGTGTAGTCTTCGTTTGTATTTTTTTTTTTTGTGTTAATGAGAAAGAAGTAAGACTTATGTCTCCTTTAATAATGTTCCTTTTCGCTAAAAATAGTTTGTCATTCTTTGTTATGATGTTCCCATTTTTTATTTGTATAAGATTTAGTTTTGAATAAAAGTTCTTTGATCGAATAATCAAAACAAGAATTTCGAATATTTAAAATGTTTACAAATAGTTCCTTCAGTGATATGAATAAATAGATTACAAAAATAAAATGTTTTCTCGAATTTGAAAGAAAATATTTTGGCAAAAAAGAAAAAAGCAAAAAATATAATATTTGTTTCGGCAGAAAAGGAAAAGTATTAAAATATGGAATTATATATTGGCAAAGGATAATGAAACCATATATTCTCTAACAAACTTGGATCGAATTGTATACCTATACCGGTATAAATACACGAACTACATTAGTCCAAAATTCAGAAATCTCTTTCTTCCAAAGCAAAGCAAGACTCTGACTTCGGAAGATTTAACCTACGTTTGTCTCCTAGTAAAAACGCAATCATCATCATGTCTTTGTCTCCAAGAACAACCGTTTTTGTGGTTTTGTGTTTTCTTTTCGTGCTCGCTCCATACTTCGCTAGGGCAACAACCGATGAACTTCAAGCTAGATGCGACTCACACAGCTTTAACAACGGCAAACACTTCCGTTCATGCGTTGACCTTCCCGTGTTAGATTCTTTTCTACACTTCAGTTACGTTCGAGATACAGGAGTGCTTGAAGTTGCGTATCGTCACATCAACGTAGACTCTTCTAGTTGGATCGCTTGGGGGATAAACCCGACAAGCGAAGGCATGTCAGGTTCTCAAACTCTCTTAGCTTATCGTAATTCCACGTCTGGTGTTATGCGAGTCTATACTTCCTCAATCAAAGGCTACTCACCTACGCTTCAAGAAAGTCCTCTCAGCTTCCGTGTATTGCAACTATCCGGTGAATATCTCAATGGAGAGATGACTATATTTGCTACTATAGTGTTGCCTTCTAACATAACCGTCGTGAATCATTTATGGCAAGACGGTCCCTTGAAGGAAGATGATAGACTTGGGATGCACGCTATGAGTGGAGATCATCTTAAATCTATGGCTACTTTGGATTTGCTGTCGGGGCAAGTCACGACCACAAAAGCAGCTAACGATAACATGTTACTAGTTAAAAAAATTCATGGACTAGTGAACGCGGTGTGTTGGGGTATTTTCATGCCTATTGGTGTCTTGGCTGCAAGGTACATGAGGACCTACAAAGGACTAGATCCCATGTGGTTCTACATACACATCATTTTCCAAACCACCGGTTATTTCGGTGGTTTATTGGGAGGACTAGGAACTGCAATCTACATAGCTAAACACACGGGAATGAGATCTACACCACATACCGTGATAGGAATCTTTTTGTTTGCTCTAGGTTTTCTACAGATACTTGCCCTCAAAGCAAGACCGGACAAGGAGCATAAGTATAGAAAATATTGGAATTGGTACCATCATACTATCGGATATGTAGTGATTGTATTAAGTGTCTACAACATCTACAAAGGCTTAGCCATCTTGCAACCCGGAAGCTCATGGAAGATTGCTTACACTACCATCGTCGGAGTCATTGGAATGTTCGCGACCGTGATGGAGGTTATGCAATTTAAAAGTAGATGGGGTGGCTCGTGCTGCAAGGAATCTGAAGACCGAGAAGCTGATCAAACTGTTTCTACTAATGTGTAGTCTTCGTTTGTATTTTTTTTTTTGTGTTAATGAGAAAGAAGTAAGACTTATGTCTCCTTCAATAATGTTCCTTTTCGCTAAAAATAGTTTGTCATTCTTTGTTATGATGTTCCCATTTTTTATTTGTATAAGATTTAGTTTTGAATAAAAGTTCTTTGATCGAATAATCAAAACAAGAATTTCGAATATTTGAATGGGATTTTGCATAGCTAAGACTAGTTTGGCATTGTTTGAGTTTACTTGTAGAAGAATTACTTCTCAATACACGTTTACAACAGAAAAAATACACAAGAATATTCAGAGCTAGAACTAGAAGTAGCTCACCAAACTCCTTCAACAATATGTGATAGATTGCTTAAGATCGTATATATGCATTTCGATGACTAATTTTTTTAAGGCTGTGTTACCTTTGTATTTACTTGTAGAAAATTTCCTTCTGAATGAAAGTTTTTTTTCATTTAAAAATCAAATAAGAGTTCTCGAATAATTTACTTATGAATAAAAATAATTAATAGTGTAGAATAAAAAAAAAAATTAATCTCTAAATTTAGGCCCACCGTAGAATTTATCTCAGGCGCGTAAAGCTCAAAACCCTAAATTTTGATAGTTCACAAATGTCGTCCACCGCTTCAGCCTTCACGGACGGCCAACCACCGTGGAAGAAGAAGAAGCCGTCGAAAGATCCGACTCCGAACCCGTCCATTCCATATGATTTGATAGTGAGCATATTAGCCCGTGTCTCGAGATCGTATTACCCAAAACTCTCCTTAGTCTCCAAAAGCTTCCGATCGATCCTTGCTTCACCGGAGCTATACCAAACCCGAACCCTCTTAGGCAAAACCGAGACTTTTCTCTACGTTTGCTTACGCTTCCCTGATGAAGCTAACCCTCGCTGGTTCACTCTTTACCAGAAACCTAATCAAACCCTAACTAAGAAGAAGAAGAAGAAGAAGAAAGAGGAGTCAAGTGTTAAACTTTTGGCTCCAACCCCAGTTCTCAATTCTCCTCCTTTGGAATGGTCAAGTCTCATCGCTGTTGGTTCTAATCTTTACGCCATTACCGCAGCCATCGACGATTCTCCATGCTCTAACGTTTGGTACCTTGACTGCCGAACTCACACTTGGCTTGAAGCTCCAAGAATGCGACTGGCTCACACCAATAGTAAGTTTGATGGGACTATCTATCCGCCCAGAAGACGGATATTCAAATTGGAAAATATGGAAGGAAAGATTTACGTGAACGTTTGTGTAGAGTCTACTAAGGAGGTTGTGCTTGTAACGCCAAAGATTATGACATGGGAAGCGTTAAATTTGGATTTGGATCGGGGTTCTCTTTGTACGATAGATAACGTAGTCTATCTTTATAACCCTAGTGGAGTATTTCTATTTAGAAAAAGTTTCATTAAGGAAGCAGTAGTTTGGAGAATATTACGGGGTTTAGAAAGGCTGCCTAAGTTTGCTAAATACAGTGCTGTTAAATTAGCGGATTATGGTGGTAAGCTGGTTGTTTTGTGGGACAAGTATGTAGCTGCAAGTGGGTATAAGGAGAAGATGATTTGGTGTGCAGAGATTTCGCTTGAAAAGCGCAACAATGAAGAGATTTGGGGGAAGGTCGAGTGGTTTGATGCGGTGCTTAGAGTCCCTAAGTCTTACAAAATCTTGTGTGCTACTGCTGCTACTCTTTGATTAAATGACTCATGACACAGCTATATATGAAGCTTTCTTTTATTTAGTATGTCACAGTTGAAGGAATGTCTTGTGTTTTTAGCGGGATGCAGTTGACATTGTTTTTGCCTTATAAATATTCCGTGACTGTCTCTTTGATAAACCCTTTGATGCCAAACTCTTTCTGCTACTGTTTAATGACTCATGAGAAAAGCGGGCAATGGTCGTTTTTGTTCTGAATGTATGTGTTTGCCTATATGTATATTTGTATGACTATGATGAATGCTTCTCTCATGCTTTAGCAGACATTGTTCACTTCTAAACATATGCACTCACGTGTAGACTGATTAAGCTTACTTTGTCTATGAGAATATTTTTGTTTGTGTTGCATAGAAGAGTACAGTTCTCTTTACATTCATGAGAAGAGCTATAACAAGATACATAGAGTTAGTGCTTGTTTTGTTGTTTAAACTGAGGCTTATGTTCATCTCTTGTAATTGTAGCCAAACTAACCTACAAAGAAATTGCTACTGAAACAATTTGAGGATCCTCTGTTTCATTCCCAAATAGGGTCTTGAATTTGATATTATACGAGTGGACTTTCTCAAGCCACTCTTTCTTTTCTTCTCAATCGAACATATTATTATCCAATTATATACTCTCTTTTTTTTTATGATTCAATTCAAGTTAGATTCAAATGTACAGAAAATTAAATTGATCATGTGTCCCAAGCTCTACTTTCATTTTTGAATTGTGTTGAAATTTTGAAGGGTTAACTTATTTTGTGCCATTGACCACTATGATGCATTTGACAGACCGTGTGTTTTTATGAATATACGTGATTACTAGGTTCATAGCATTAAACTAACGAATTGGACTTATGAATGATCTAGTGTGAAAAAGAGAGGTTTAGTTGTTCTGTGTGCCAAAAAAAAGGAAGAATCTGTTGAAAACGTTAGTGACTCACTGAATATGTTGCAGAAATATATGGTGTTTTGCATCTTTTAATAATTCTTGGTTAGTTTGTTCGGTTTGAGATGGGATCATTTCATAGATAAATTTTAATTTTATTCGAGATATTCTACAGTTCAGTTTGAGTTCGTACGTCTTTGAAAATTTTGGTTCGGATTCGAGAATTTTAGCTTGGTTCGAGAATGTTTTTAATTATAGACATCATTTGGTTTTAAAACCATTGATGGTAAGAAAGCAATTTGGAGAAAATTAGAAGGGCTACCTAAGTTTTCTAGTTATTGTACTGTTAGATTGGCGGAGTGTGGCGGCAAGCTGGTCGTTTTGTGGGACAAGTATGTGCCTGCGAGTGGGTATAAGGAGAAGATGATTTGATGTGCGGAGATTTCGCTTGAAAAGCGTAACAGTAAAGAGATTTGGGGGTATGTTTAGTGGTTTGATGCGGTGCTTAGAGTCCCTAAGTCTTACAAAATCTTGTGTGCTAATGCTGCTACTCTTTGATTAATGACTCAGGACACAGATATGAAGCTTTCTTTTATTTAGTATGTCACAATTGAAGGAATGTCTTGTGTTTATAGCGGAATGCAATTGACATTGTTTTCGCTTAGAAAGTTAGAAACATCTAAACTCGCTTGTAGATGATTATGCTTATTTTTGGACTCTTTGATAAGCCTTTTGATGTCAAACATCGTTTAATGATTCTTGAGACAAGCGGGCAATAGTCGTTTTTGTTCTGAATGTATATATATATAGATGTGACTATGATGATTGATGAATGCTTCTCTCATTCTTTTAGCGGACATTGTTTCATCTCTAAACATATGCACCCACTTGCAGACTGATTCTCTTTACATTCACGAGAACAACTAAAACAAGATACACTCAGTGCTTGTTTTATATGTTGTATAGTGACTATAGTCCTTTGGGCTTTCTCATCCATGTAGTGAATGACCAAGTTGCTTTGTTTAAGCTGAGGCTTATGTTCATGTTTTGTAGCCAACCAACAAAGAAATTACCAAACGGGATCTTGAATTTGTTACGTCAGTATTTTATTTTCTCTCAACCGAACATAGTTATCATATTTCAATGAACTCATTATCCACAAACTTTTATAATTCAAATCAAGTAAGATTCAAATACACAAAACGAAACTGATCATCTAATCAAGGGAAAAAGGGTCCATTTCAAATAGAACAATTTCTATTGTGCATTTTCATACTTAAACAAAGTCATTGTGCTTATTTCAATCCGAACAACTAAAAATTTTCAAATAACCTGTATGAGAACTTCAATAAAAATAACTAAATCGAAGTTGCTTTTCACGGAAACTAGTCAACCGTTTAATGTGCTAATTCGAATGGTGACGTGACAACGATTTGGCATCAGTTAAAAAATATTTTCATATTTTAAAATGAAAATGTCTTTCATTTAAAAGATTAGACATTTTGCATATATAATTTAAAGCTGATGATATTATTACAAATTATTCCTTTGGCCGGGTGGTAACTTTGGTATCTCTCACGAAATTCGAATATCTCAAGTGACTAATTTCCATGATGGTCAACTTCGATTATATATTTTTCTTGAAGTTCATACATGTTATTTGATTTTTTAGTTGTTCGGATT